AAAAAAAAAAGCAAAGAAAGAGATAGAGACCAGAAGATTACGCACAATAGCTTGAAAAATCACAAAAATGATTATTCAAACAAAAAAATAATTATAGCAAATAAGTAATCGCAGCTCTTTACCACTTGCTGATCGATAAAGCTTGCAGAATTAGCTGAGGGTTTCGAATCCATATTTCTATGGAAGAAAGAATACAGATACAGTGATTGTATGTATCTCTATGCTTCGAAAGCAAAAGAGAATCGGCGGCGGCGGAGTGAGAAAAGCTGTCGGGGATAGCTGCGGCGGCGAATTAGAGTCGGCGAGTTTTCTGTAAAGGTACCAAACAGGCGAAACGCGTTTATTAAGTAGCGTTTTAAGCACTTTCTTTAGACATGTCAAAACGGGCCGAATGGGAGGGCCGGGCCTTTGAAATGGCAGCCCGGTGTTTTTCTTTATTTATTTATTTATTTATTTTTTTTTGGAAAACCAGTTCTATTTATCTTTATGGCAAATACATCATTATATTGAAAGATATTTTAATAATAAAAGATTAGTGATATTTTATTATAAGACAAAATTTTTTGTAATTGTATCAATTTAAGGTTCGAATTTTTTTTTTTTTCTCAATAGAAAGCTTACATGTAGATTCTTTTTAATTGAAGACATATACTTTTTTAGTTAACTTCGCATTATAAGACGAAACTAACTTTACTTTTTGACATAAATATGTACACCAACTATTATGAAACAAAATATATTATTATTTTTTCTTGTAATTTATATTTTACATACTTATAATAAAAAATAAAAAATATCTTTAATAAAATTACATTAATAAGGGACTCTATAAATTTATAAGTATGCAAAAGTCTAATGATGATTATTCTAAAAATTGATATTCTGAAAAATCTGCAATTGAATAATATCTATATTAATAATATAAATTTGTAATAAAATAAAAAAATAATTTTTCTATAATGTCATATTTATTTTAGTTTTTCAGGATTTTAACTTTTCTTTATGGACCCAAAAGTTGATACCATAGTACATAATCAGTTTATTAATAAAAATAATATTTCCATTACATATTTTCAAATTTATTTATCAATTATTTAAAATAACCACTATTAAACTTTTGCATAAATATAATATATATAGTTTCATTTTTATTAAAGAAAATTTACTAAACATATTTATTATTTCTTATTATAAGTATGTAAATATAAATTACCAAAAAACAAAATTAAATTAAAAAAAATTGTTCACATAACTATATCATAAAATAAAGTTAATTGATTTACATACAGATACAGTTGAACATTAGAATGAAAAGTTAACTAAAACGTGAGACTTAAATTGATAATAATCTAAAATGTAAGTCTAATAGAAAATAATAAAATTCACGATTTAAATTGATATAGTTTTAAAAATCAGGCATTCTAATGTAATTTTCCCTTAAAAAATATTTATAAGGTGTACTTAGAAAATTCCAAGATTGTTTTTTTTTTAAAAAAAAAAATATCATAGTAATATACTCTATTTAAATGATAAGCCCATCCTAAAGAATAAACGATATATATTCGGCACACTGAAATACTCTCTTGAATTCACAATGCATCCCCTATTTTGGGGAAAGCTTCAAAGAAAAAAATAGTATCTTCCTCCCATTTATAGCTTCCATTACACTTCACACACATAATTTAAAAAAATAAAA